CCCCCCAACAATAAACAAACCAACAAAACAAAAAACAATCAACAACGAAACAAAACATAAACCAAAAAAAAGACTAACAAAACAAGCAAACTACCAAAACTAAACCACACAATATCCTACGTGCATTATTGTGTCCACGACCCAGCCTTACCTCCGCCATCTTCCTGTCTGTCTCTCTCCTGTCTTTCGTCCACGTCAGTCTGTCACTCTCCATCTGACGTACCAGCTCCTTCCGCTCATGCGCAAACGCCTCGTCTCGGGACCGCAGCTGTTCCTGGTGTAGTAAATTTTAATGGTTGAGGTTTTCTTTGATTCTTCGTACGACTTAAAACACAATAAGGTCATATAAGTGACGAAGATTAAAGGTGTTACGAGAGAGTAACGAACATAAAAAAATGGAGGAGAGATCAGGACGACAGATATTCGATAGGAAAGAAGGAGTGAGCCACACCAGAGCATCCGCCAACCATCCACTAATGGTTTAGGTTTAACGCCCCCATCAACACTATTAGGTTATTTAAGAGGGGGGACCTCCGAGTTTAACGTCCACCTCCGAAAGGTGAAAATTGTGAAGCGGTATAGGTTTTACACCCCTATCAATACTACATGTCTTAGGTTAATTAAGAGACGGGACCTCCGAGTAGTATATTTTCGCTTTAAAAAAAGAAATGGGTATGTCCCTTTATTTGCCGGGATGCTGAATCCCTGTCAGCCAGACTCAAAGCAAACGCCCCACATGTTCTTATATAAATTGTGCCGATGCGTGCGTAAAAGGTCTACTATTATTATTCCTACAATGGGAGGGGAAAGAGCAGAAAGCCACGCCCACCTGCAAGTCAAGAGCCAATGTGTGCGCTTCTTGCAGCAAGCGTCTCTGTTCTCTCCGCTCCTTGTCCCAGGCCATGCCCATGTTGACCTGGATGTCCTTTGACCTCTCCTGCTGCCGAGACGTGCTGCACAGCTGCTCCTCCATCTGCACCACGGGAGTCATAAAAATACACATACATTAATAGATGAATGAATGAATGAATAAATGAATACAGGTATACGTGAATAAATGAATGAAATAATACATAAAAAAGAATAAATGAATGAATGAATAAATGAATAAATAAAGGAAAACATCAATCAGTCAATCAATCAATCATTCATGAATCAATTAATCAATCAATAGATGGATGAATGGATTAATGGATAAATTAAGAAATAGATGAATAGATGAATAGATGAATAATGTTCCTCAAATACACTAGTCTATATTCTTACATAGATCCGAACAGTGTAGGAAAACTATTTAGGGGTGAAATGCAACAGCAAATACAAAAATGAAATAAAATACTAAAAAAAAAATATATAAAAAAGTAAAATGAAATCAAATGAAATCAAATGAAAATAAAAATAAAAATTAAAAATGATAACAATTAATAATTTAAAACAAACATAAATAAATAAAAAACAACTCTACCCTAATTTCTTCTCCGTCTTTGCAGACTTTTATCATCCCGGACACGCCCCTTTTCTCTAAAGTTGCCCCTCCCCCTCCCCTCTCCTGCCTCTCTCTCTCTCTCTCTCTCTCTCTCTCTCTCTCTCTCTCTCTCTCTCCCTCCCCTCTCCTGCCCCTCCCCCACCCTCACCTGATTGATCTGACTGCACAGGTTGGCCTTGTCAATCTCCCAGGAGGCGCGGTCAGTGGCGAACTTGTTGATAAGCTCCGCCCTCAGCCTCTCCTGGTCCAAGCTCTGCTCCCTCACGTCGCGCAGTTGTCGCTGCAGCTGGTCCATCAGCGCACGGGATTCGTCGATCTAGATATAGAACAGATTGGTTTTTGAAAAAGGAAGAAAGAAAACCCCGTTTTAATTGGTTCCTCCTCGGGGGAAATTCCGTTTATGATGATATGCAAAATGATTCAAGTCTATGTCTCACAATGATCATGAACGTCTGTAGAGGGGAACACTATGACGAAACAACTTACAAGAAGCAAAAACTTCTTTATCTCCAGCAAAACAAAACAAAACAAAATGAAACAAAACGAAAAGAAGCCATAAAACAAAACAAAAAGAAACGAAACACAGCAAAACGAAACAAAACCAAGTAAAACAACAATACAAAACAAAACCACTTGCAATTTACAATTAACAGCAAATTAAGCTCACTTTCTTTCAAATGATAATAATAATAATACATGTAATAAATGATAATAATAATAATAATGATACTACTACTACTACTACTACTACTACTACAACTACTACTACTACTACTACTACTACTACTACTACTACTACTACTACTACTACTATAATAATAATAAAGCTCACTCTACCTCTTTGATCTGTCGGTCCAGATTTGCTTTGTCTTCCTCCGACCTCAGCAGTTCCTCTGTATATTTGTCTTTGAGAGCACCAAAGTTTTTCTGAACGGTGTCGATGATTTCCTTGTCTAAGTCCAGCTCCTTCTGCAGCTTGGCAATGCTCACCAGCTGTAATTAAACAAAAGGGTTAAGGGATATTATGTTAGATATAAGAAACAAAAATAAGAGTGCATTGACACAATCAAAATAAGCTACACATAATATTGTAACCTAAAGGCGTTGGATCTAATAGTTTGTTTGAGGCCCCCTCTAACCACCCATATAACAGACAAAAACATGAGACAGAATAAAAAGAAATCTATCAGTGGTACCATCCAAAAATAGACAGATAGAAACAACAGAGGGTTAGGAAAGAAATCTGTCAGTGGTACTCACCAAACATCAACATAGACAGGCAGAAACAACAGAAGCTAAGGAAAGAAATATGTCAGTGGTGCCCTCCAAACACGCAAACAGAAGACAGAAACAACAGTGGGTAAGGACAGAAAAATATAAGTGTTACCCACCAAACACGTAGGGTAAGGAAAAAAAAATATATCAGTGGTACCCTCCAAATACCAACATAGACAGACAGAAACAACAGAGGACAAGGAAAGAAATCTACAGAGCTACCCTCCAAATACGCAAATAAACAGAGAGCAACAACAGAGAGCAAGAATAGAACCTGGACCTGCCAGTAGTTGCGCCCTCAATGTGTCAAACTGCGCTATGGTGTAGATGACCAGGGTTCAAATCTTAGAACGTGGCGTTCTTGAACTTACCTTGTGTTGGGAGTCTTCAAAGCTCAAGTCACACTAGGCTCGATGTTATTGGAAATGGACTTTGGGGAAATTACATTTATTTGGACCCCACACCCACCCACCCCCCTCTCTCTCTCTCCCCCCCCCTATCTCTCAAACGATTCTTAAAAGCTTCTTTAGTGGATGACATCACGGTGACCCAAATGTGATACCACAGCGTGTACAGATCGCGGATGAGAGTACTAGGCTAAGTAAGCTCAGAATGGAAGAGCTCAAGTTTACTTTTACCCCACCTTGTAGATGATCTTACAATGGGAAGGGAGGTGAAACCAGTACCACGTCATACTATCACTGTTCTCATAGTATTATAAAATAACAAGCTCCTGAGGTTCGAGCCTCAGCTCGGTTCAGCTTTGTGTCCTTGGGAAAGGCACTTTAAACAAATTTCTCACTTGACTCGGTCCTTTCGGAGAAGGACGTTAAACCCGGAGTTCCCGCCTCTTAGATAAGCTAACATCGTTGATAGGGGCATAAAACCTATACCATTTCACCATTTTATTTTTCAGCTTTTAAAGCCAGTCCTTACCATTTTGTTATTTTCTTTGTTCATTTTCTCGATTCTGGACTCGTATCGCACCTTCATGGACATGTGTTCAGCACGGAGTATTCGCTCCTCTTGTTGGAGTCGATACGCCATTTCCGCCTGGTGGGAGAAAGGGCGATAACTTGAGATATATTGTTCTGGTAATGTTTTCTACACTTTTAACTCTCTCTCTCTCTCTCTCTCTCTCTCTCTCTCTCTC